AGAATGATCACATTTTTTTATCATGTCATATAAATGCCTATAGGTGATCACAAAGTTCTCATTGAATTACCACTCATGCAGCTCCATGTAAAAATTGTGATAGTATTTCTTCAGTGACCACATTCTTTTTAGTATCATGCTCTTTGAATGACAATAGGTTATCACAAAGTTCTCATCGAATGATCACAGTGACGTGGGGATGACATTTTCATTACAATTCTTCAAGAGCATATGTGAAGTGTAATCACAGAGCTTTCACTGAATGTTGACAGTGACAAATGGTGATCACATTCTCATAATAAAGTTGAGACAGGTTTTGGACAGTGTGATCACACGGATCTCACTGAATGGTGACAGTTGTATGGTGATCACATTATCATTACAAAAGTCCACAGTGTTGTCAAAATGTGACCTCACAGTTTTCACTGCAGGGTGACAGTGACAAATGGTGATCACATTACACTAAAAGATTTCAAATTATTGTCATGATGTGATCACAAAGTTTTCACTGAATGGATACAGTGACAAATGGTGATCACATTCTCATTACAAGATATTCAAGCATTGTCATAATGTGATCACACAGTTTTCACTGAATGGAGACAGTGACAAATGGTGATCACATTACACTATAAGATTTAAGAGTATTGTTATAATGTGATCACACAGTTTTCACTGAATGGTGACAGTGACAAATAGTGATCACGTTACACTATAAGATTTAAGAGTATTGTCATAATGTGATCACAAAGTTTTCACTGAATGGTGACAGTGACAAATAGTGATCACATTACACTATAAGATTTAAGAGTATTGTCATAATGTGATCACAAAGTTTTCACTGAATGGTGACAGTGACAAATAGTGATCACATTACACTATAAGATTTAAGAGTATTGTCATAATGTGATCACACAGTTTTCACTGATTGGTGACATCGACAAATAGTGATCACATTACACTATAAGATTTCAAAGTAATGTCATAATGTGATCACACAGTTTTCACTGATTGGTGACAGTGACAAGTGGTGATCAAATTACACTATAAGATTTCAAAGTATTGTCATAATGTGATCACAAAGTTTTCACTGAATGGTGACAGTGACAAATGGTGATCACATTACACTATATGATTAAAGAGTATTGTCATAATGTGATCACAAAGTTTTCACTGAATGGTGACAGTGACAAATGGTGATCACATTACACTATAAGATTTCAAAGTATTGTCATAATGTGATCACACAATTTTCACTGATTGGTGACAGTGATAAATAGTGATCACATTACACAATAAGATTTCAAAGTATTGTCATAATGTGATCACACAATTTTCACTGAATGGTGACAGTGACAAATGGTGATCACGTTACACTATAAGATTTAAGAGTATTGTCATAATGTGATCACACAGTTTTCACTGATTGGTGACAGGGACAAATAGTGATCACATTACACAATACGATTTCAAAGTAATGTCATAATGTGATCACACAGTTTTCACTGATTGGTGACAGTGACAAATAGTGATCACATTACACTATAAGATTTAAGAGTATTGTCATAGTGTGATCACAAAGTTTTCACTGAATGGTGACAGTGACAAATGGTGATCACATTACACTATATGATTTCAAAGTATTGTCATAATGTGATCACAAAGTTTTCACTGAATGGTGACAGTGATAAATGGTGATCACATTCTCATTACAAGATATTCAAGCATTGTCATGATGTGATCACACAGTTTTCAGTGAATGGAGACAGTGACAAATAGTGATTACATTACACTTTAAGATTTCAAAGTAATGTCATAATGTGATCACACAGTTTTTACTGAATGGTGACAGTGACAAGTGGTGATCATATTATCATTACAAGATATCCAAGCATTGTCATTGTGTGATCACTGAATGAGGGATTATCAATAGGTAATCATGTGTTAGCTTGTGATTATGTCAGTTGTTATTAGGCTACAAAGTTTCTATAACAATATATTTAGAGACAACATACTTTTCAGTTAGAGGTAATGCAATCTTCAAGTTGTTTTTACATCACTTTTTGACCAGTAGCTAATTAACAGTTACCTCTATTGTACCATTAAGTAGCCATCAAGTGATGTCATCGTTTGCAGAGGATTAATCTAAATCTAAAGGGAAAATGTTTATCAGCTATCAAGTGATCCTGAAGCCTTCTATAAATACAAACAATTTCTTGAGTGCTATGAAAAAGATATAATGAAAATGAATCTTATAACAAGGGGGCCTTATGAATTTATTAGTCACCTTTCAGTAGGACCACTGTCTCAGGATATCTTTTCTGTGAATCATACTGGGGGATTGTCATATTATCAAAACTATATTTATATTGCTGTCAGCAATATTCAGTGCGAGGGAATTAATTACTGAGCGTGTGTTTAATCAATAACAACTCAAACATGAGATCGATGAAAAAAACAGACTTACCTGTTCTTAGCATTTGCTTCATGCAACTGTTTTGATCCCAACACTAAAACACGGAAAACACAAAACATAATTATGCTATTTGTGCGGTATATTCACCTTGTTCTGTTTGATGAAGGTGTGTGGCAATGATGTCTACTTGACATGCCTTGTTTTCTCTGATTACCTTCTGATACATCAGGTCTAGCTGCCTTGGAATCTATACATTATTGATTGTGTCTGTATACGTACACGTCTATCTGACCTCATTTCTTGGGCACTGTGGGGCCACCCTGTCCCCAAACACCTTTGCCGCCCCATATAATCACTGGTGCGCTACCTCGATTATCTCGAACATTAACGTTCGTATAACACAGGGAATTATACACTTTTATGAGTTGTACAGACCACGGAATTAGAAAGTGGTGCTATTTTTAGCATATGCACATGTAGTCTTGCAGAGCGCTCTAAGGGGAGTGGATATATGTGTGTGGCATGAATTTCATACTGTCCATTTCTGACCAGCCAAAATATATTTGACTGACGGGTCACGGGACAGCTGATGGTCAGGTGGGTGGAGCCAAGGAGTGGACAATACTTGATGGGCTGGCTGTGACGGGAACCTCCCAGGACTGGGATCGGTACACGGTACACAGTATTGATACCTGATTGTGTATGTGGTCCGATCGATACACAACAAACATGCGCGACCTGACCCAGACCCTTCTTCCATGGATTACAGATACAGATGATGGCTGGTGTTTTTAATTCTAGCGGTGATGGATCACGGGCGGTATGTGAACATCCACCCCGTGAATCAACCTTGAACTGGCCGTTCGGTTCTAAACACGGTGGCACTAGCCTCGCTTTTACCCCTGCACTTAAAAGAACCGCGGAGACTGGTGAACTATGCTACTGGCAACTCTTTTCTCCACTAAGCACGCCATTGTGTTTTATATGTGTAACCTGTGGACGCGCTATTTATACTAGCATACAGGATGCCGGACCCTGCTTCCTAGTCCCTCCCACAACGTCCAGCCCCAGATACTCGCCCCCTCCCCTTGATCGTAAGCGGGCTATAAATACTCTACACACACTCGTTTCTGGGGCACATCTCACAGAAAGGTAGTTGGGGTGTGTTCTAGGAGTGAAAGACTTGAAAATTTAGCCTCTATTTCCTTGAAATATTCACAACACGTGGTCAACCCGGTGAAATGGATTCCAAACTGTGACAGGGAAAGCTGCATTCTGATTGGTGGTTTGCTGGCGGATAAATTGTGAACTATTTGTAATTAGTACAATGAGCGAATAATTGGGGGTCACGTGTTGAAAGGCTAACTGAGTAACCGATGGCCTCTCTGACGAAATGAGGATTATTCTAAGAGATAGGATTCGCTTAGGAGAGTAGCAGGCGGGTGGTCCGCTGACCAGTCAGGCTAGCTACGAGTTGGAATCCGACTGACAGCTGAGACGGAATAACATGGCCTCAGGTACGGTAACAGTATTTTACATATTTCATTCAGCTTTCACGTGACCCTCGTGGTCAAGATCTGGCCCCTGTAAGCCACTGGGAGCGTGTCATGCCTCTTCTACCCTTTCTACACACCCTCACTTCCCACCCACTCAAAATGGGGTCAGACCTACCCCTCGCGCTTTCAGAATGGGCGCATTTTTTGCTAATATGTTCTTTGTTGAGTGTGTGGCCCCTATTCTATAATGGTCAATGGCCCTTGGTACAATCATGAATGTGCATTTCTGTCCGTGGTCACTCGTGGCCTAAGACAAGGGAGTGGATGAAGGCGAGAGAAGTTGACACACTTTCGGCTGAAGCTGATAGTCTCGCGGCATGACAAGTCGGCGTGCGAGCCTTGCGTTCACCCTCCCTTAACCCGCTCTATTTACAAGTGTTTTGTAGAAAATTTGAAGAATGCGATTACGACACAAAAAAGCAAATAGTAGCACTGTGGTGACATGTCTTTTTTCTGTTGATGCTTGCAGTATTTGCAGTGTCATAGCACTGGTACTGCATAGTCTTAATCATGTTTGTTATTTTGTCACTCGCGTGTACCATTGGCAAGAGTTTTCTGTTCACATCTGATAACGTTAGTCTGACCTCTTTTCTTCTCGAGGCCGGATACGGGCATTGGGGGTAAGGGATGGGGAAAGAGCACCAGCTGATCCTTAAAGCTGGGTTGAGACCCAGAAAAGGGGTAGGAAGAGGACGGACAGCCCCCCTGCACCCCCCTATAAGCCGGCTCAGCTATCTCGGCGATCAGCTGATTGAGCTTGCTTCGCTCTACCTACCGGAGTGAAACCACCCATGTGATCGGGAAATGGGGTCACGGGGGACCACCAGTACTACAACTATCACGGTATTCGGGTCAACATTGATCTATTGATTGAAACGGATTATCGGTGATTGATTGATTTTTGTTTGCTATAAATAAAACTGTTAGATTATTTCACCAATCAGAATGTTTTTGCCCTCGACTCGCAATGCATGCGATTTTCATAATAAGGCTAGGCTGTGAGAGGGTTTGCGAGGCGGTCACATGAACATTGTTAGTTGTGCCAGGTGATCGTAGGTGAAATGATGAGTTAAGGTTAGCATTGATAGGTCCGCGTCCTCGCTCCCTCCCTCCTACCTCCGTCTGTCATCGACTTACGCGGATCTCATGGCGCTTCGTTCGAAAAAGCTAGCATTCCTTATCCTATGGCCTCGGTCAAGCAGCGAGTGACGGTGATCCTGCGCTCAGTCGGAGTCGAGGAGGTGGACAGTGGTCATCTCAACGTGGACACAGCCAGCTTCTATGAGGCAGCAACCGACTCAAGGGAGAGATCTGAGAGTCGGGGGGGAAATCAGCTGATGGCGTCGTGCTCACCTCACCAAGGTAGTCCTCCATGTTTCTAATGGCGTTCGCCGGCTAACCCCGGCCACACTGGGAGAAGGGATAAAAGCAAGGAATAAGCATGTCACGGGAGGGTTGTTGGGACACTCGCAGAGTTGTGGTCATGCCTGAGTGACCGATGGTCAGACCTAGGGGACTGGGAGTTTGGGAGGGCGCTGTGTAGTTTAGGCAAGCACGCTTCCGCTCAATGTAAGTGCGCACTGGCCGTGATGTCCATATTGCAGTGAGCGAGAGATGCGAGTAGTCGGCGGCCAGAGGTGAGGGAAGGAGTGCCCGTCCATTTCATCTCTGTGGCCCGGACATGGCCAGCTGGCTGACCAGTGGAGATCCTGGACACCAGCAAGGTGAGCTCAGTCGACCAGTGAGGTACAACCAGGCTTACACAGGCCGGTAGCCGCGCATGGATACTGCGCGCTGGCTTGGTGGGGTCAATGACTCCTCGGACAAGTGCGTGTGTATGGTAATGGTCGGTGGGAACCCCCCTGGTAGGATCTGTTGCATAACATCGAGACACCGGGTGTCTGACTCTCTACCTCTTTATGACCACATTACATTGTAAATGAATGTGCATTTCCAGCCAAACGCTCATGTATAATGCGAATCTTACCAAATATTGATTTTTTCCCATTTTATACTCTCGTGGAATGCACTACCATTGTGGATTTTTTGTGAAAACAAAAGTGTGTGTCAGTATTTCCCAGCATCCGAATTCCTTCCCGTGCCCCAAGACCTTCCTGTTCGTTGTGGTAGATGTTGGCAATGTCGTGTTTACATCGTGTTGTCAAGGCCATCTCCCAGTGTCTGTCGTCAAACTTTGCCCAATATTCCAAATCTAGCCTTACAACTTGGTGCTTGTATCCATCATACAAGGCTATGGTAGAACCTCCGGCACGGTTTGGTTGGGCAGGGAAAATAGGTCGCTTACTCCAGGGTATAATTTCCCTGCGTCTACTAGCTGGTTTTATCATGTACCTCTTGTTCATCGTTTTTATGCCTCCCTTTCCTCGTGGTACTCCCCACAACCTTGCTCTAAACATGGCTCCACACTGAGGACACTCTCAGCATTATTGCTGACTTTGCAAAAATAAATAATCATTAGGTCAAATAATATAACACTATTTTCATAAGGCCGAATTTTGTCATTTGAGTATTTACCTTGAACAAGAAAAATATCAGTCAGAAATGAAAGTAGGTCTTTTAAGTGTAAATATAATTGATTACCTTTACAGATGAACATACTTTGATAGCAAATTTGCTGTCAGCTGTGTGTTTAAAAGGAGCGGGCATTTGACTGAAACAAACGCTAAATAGAACTGTTGACATCTTTGAAGGAAAATAGTAAAAATCTGCTGCATAAAAATATGTATGTAAACAAGAGCATATCAATATAATTTATATTTCACCTGAATGTGAAATTTTACAGAAGACAATATAATTACCTGCTTTGTGTGATTATGTTCAATGATAAAATCCATGGAAACATCTCTATGACTTTCCAGCATCTTTCTGTTTAATTGCTACACAATCACACCCATACTGCACTGTTACAGTTATGTTTACAAACTGCTTTATGAATATGTGATTTGTATTGGAAATGTACTATATATTTTCAAATGTAAGTTTTGTTTTTTCCTTATTTATCTAGATAATATTTGGAAATGTTATAACAAACAGCAGTAAATGTAGTGATGGTTTCTTGATACTGTCTAGCAAGAGATAGATTTATGTGTCACCCTGTAAGCTTGACGTGGACGTACATCGCTGTTTTGTTTTGTTTTGTACCAACGTTGGTGGGTTCTTCTGAGAATAGACAAACTGTTAAGACCATAAACAATAAGCATATGAACCATTATATATTCATACTTCTGTTAAAATGCCCAACCATTAGTATTGTGAAATTTCAAGAATCACAGTCGTGTGCAAATTGTACATTGATTGGATGCCACATCTAAGGTTGTCACATCTATTTTACACCTTTTTATTCTATAGAAAATGATAATTCATATGTGTTTTACAGAGCATGTAATATGACACATATTGTAGCTCGTGTTGTGTCATTTGCTTCTATTTGCAACAAGACATATTAATATGGTTTTCATTGATTTTCGTGTACATAATATTCATATGTTTTACTTATACCAAGTATATGCTGTGTAAACTATCCTTATTAATCATGTAACATCTGCTTTCATTTCAATACATATGTTGATATTTCGGATAAAAAACCAGTATCATTATTTAACAGATTTAACCTCATGTTATCGAGTATTTGGTAAAGAGCAAGTAGAACATTTATTCCCACCCAGAAGACAAGCGTTTGAAGAGTTGTCAAAGCAAACAACGAAATGTAATTGCTTCTATTAATATATTTGTGTTTAAAGACGTGCACTACTTTTTCAGGCGGAGGAGGCCGGAGAAGAGGCATGTGTAAATGGTTCAATGTGGCCAAAGGATGGGGCTTCGTGACCCCAGATGATGGAGGGCAGGATGTATTCGTACACCAGGTAGGAATACATATTATTACTTATGCAGATTTGTCACCATATTAAGTGCAAACAAAAGCCAAATTCTGAGTTATGTAACCCAAAACCGTTTCACGCAGTCACTTTTTCTGTGTTCAATACCTGCAATTAAACAGTAGTAAGCTTTAGCAGATAAAGGCATGCTATGTATATTTTATCACTAAACAAATAATGAATCGTAGCTAAGTTATGAAGTATTCATATGGCGTGTTCTTGGCTATACATAATTAATTTAAATATTCACATTTTAGCATAAGTATTTTGAACATCAATGCCATAATATACAATTTAAAGCAGTGTCCATTTTACCTAACAGTTTATGTATTCATATGTATGTACATACATTGTAGGAACCTCCTGTTCTTGATTAAACATTATTAACTTCACTATTCACATCTTAGCACAAGTATATGGAACATCAGTGCAATAAAAAGGATTTAAGACAATATCCAGTTTTCCCTACCATAAGGAATAACAATAGATTAAGAAAAAGAACCTCCTGTTCTTGATTAAACAAAATTAACTTCACTATTCACATCTTAGCATAAGTATATGGAACATCAATGCAATAAATAGGATTTAAGACAATATCCAGTTTTCCCTACCATAAGGAATACCAATAGATTAAGAAAAAGAACCCCCTGTTCTTGATTAAACAAAATTAACTTCACTATTCACATCTTAGCATAAGTATATGGAACATCAATGCAATAAATAGGATTTAAGACAATATCCAGTTTTCCCTACCATAAGGAATACCAATAGATTAAGAAAAAGAACCTCCATATGAACGAAATTACCTTCACTATTCACTTCTTAGCACAAGTATATGGAACATCAATGCAATAAATAGGATTTAAGACAATATTCAGTTTTCCCTAGATTTTGTATATGCATGTAGACGTGTACATGCATTGTGAGAACCTCCTGTCCTGGGATATACATAATTAAATTATACATTCGGATCTAAGCACAAGTATGTGGAACATTAATGCCATAATATATGATTAAGACAATATTCATTTCCCCCTGCATCATATACTGTAGGTATAGACATGCACTGTGAGAACCTCCTGTTCTCCTCTATACATAATTAAATTATACATTCACGTTTTAGCATAAGAATGTGGAACATCAATGCCATAATATATGATAAGACAATACTCATTTTCTCATCATTTTATATGTGTATGTACATGTACATGCATTGTGAGAACCTTCTGCTCTTAGGTATACAAAATTAAATTATACATTCACATCTTAGGGCAAATATGTTGAACATTAATGCCATAACATACGATTTAAGACAATATTCATTACCCCTACATTATATATGTAGGTATAAACAAAAACATGAATTGTGAGAAGCTCCTGTTCGTGGATATACATAATTAAATTATACATTCACATCTTAGGGCAAATATGTGGAACATTAATGCCATAACATACGATTTAAGACAATATTCATTCCCCCTACATTATATATGTAGGTATAAACATAAACATGAATTGTGAGAAGCTCCTGTTCGTGGATATACATAATTAAATTATACATTCACATCTTAGGGCAAGTATGTGGAACATTAATGCCATAACATATGATTTAAGAACATTCGATTTAATAAACATAAACAATATTCATTCCCCTAATTAAATTATATGTCTTAGGTATAAATTAATGCATAAACATGAATATGTAGATAAACAAAAACATGAAGCTCCTGTTCGTGGATATACATAATTAAATTATACATTCACATCTTAGGGCAAGTATGTGGAACATTAATGCCATAACATACGATTTAAGACAATATTCATTCCCCCTACATTATATATGTAGGTATAAACATAAACATGAATTGTGAGAAGCTCCTGTTCGTGGATATACATAATTAAATTATACATTCACATCTTAGGGCAAGTATGTGGAACATTAATGCCATAACATACGATTTAAGACAATATTCATTCCCCCTACATTATATATGTAGGTATAAACATAAACATGAATTGTGAGAAGCTCCTGTTCGTGGATATACATAATTAAATTATACATTCACATCTTAGGACAAATATGTGGAACATGAATGCTATATTAGAAGATTTAAGACAATATTCATTCCCCCCTACATTATATATGTAGGTATAAACATAAACATAAACATGTGTGAACTTTCTGTCATTATATGTTGCTAGATACACGATACTGCATGTTAAGTCCACCTTAATCTTCACCATCACTTCACAGATCAAATAGCAAGCACGTTACACGTCCAATGTATTTTATATACATATTACCTATATCAAATTTATGTATTAAAACAAATAGATCATGATATCCTTTAACATAACCATCACCATAAGGAATACCAATCGATTAAGAAAAAGAACGTTCAACATAAATATATATATACAGATAGATCCCATATAATATTTCAGGAAGAAGCATTATAAGTATATTTTCATACTGTTTGTGAAACCTTTCTTGACTGAACAATAATTCTATGCAGAAGAGATCGTTTCGTTAAACCGAATCCATCCCCAGAAGCAACGTTTAGCATAGCATACATGCTTGCTATTTATGTAACAGTGAAGGGACCCCCTGTTCATGTTGCTATTACTATCCTTGATGTGCATTGTGTATGTACATATGTGCTCATCTGTACGTACAGCTTTTTGTGATACTTTGGTGCAGATATTCCTGCAAGTCGTATGACTAAACGAAGGCATATTTGATTTACGATCCTTTATACTGTTAACTCTACACTTGATCATCGTGATTCATTAGCATATGTCAATATATATTTGCCTGTGTGTGAAAAGAAACATTTCAAAATGCCCCCGCTGCCTGTACCTTATTACTGTTTTACTGAACACATAAATACACTCACACACAGATACTGACACACAGGAACATCTTATATATTATCTAATATCTACACACACACGGACACACACACACACACATACACACACACACACACACACATACATACAAACATATATTCAAAAGCTATTTATTCATTTTACAGAAATAAACAAGTGTCATGTCTGTGTCATGTATTCCAAAACATAGTTGCACATGTGTTAATAAACACAGCTTGTTTATATATTAAATACATTTGACATCAGACAGTAAACTCACTCGGTTATCAGGCGAATCAAATACAAAAGGGGTAAAAAGCAAAGTAGGTGTGAAAGTTATTTTAATGGATCATTAAAAATCAATAATGACTCCATGTGCTCGCCAAAATGCCCAACGTTAGAATCCGCTCTCACACAATATGCATAAAAAGTAAATGATTAGAACTGCAAGAAATAGTAATGCATTACATTATTATATATTAGGATAAATGCATAGCATAAGACCTGTATTGTTTATAAATTAATTAAAAGAAAATGCTCTACAAATGCTTACAATGGAAATATATTATTATATAATATTGAATATTATGTAATTATGCAACATACCAATATCAGGATTAAATTTGTATTCCTTCATGATCATGAATGTGTTGTTTGGATGATAACATAGGTGGTCATTCATACCGGTCACATATAGACTTAACAGTAATACCTACATCACATATTCACGAATTGTATATTAGTCATCTGGGACTATCACTGTTGCAAGTATTATATATACATATGTCTTTCAAAGGATAGAAAATTGTACATCAAAATCACCGTGACCGTGTTTCCCATGAAAACGATATTCAATAAGCTGTAGTAACCAGTCAATATCCTTATAATGAATTCTGTTGGGGAGAAATCAATTCCAGCTTGATGATTCTCCAGTAAGTGCATCATATGTATGTAAGATATAGTCCTGACTTTGCGATGTAGATACTGCTAACAAAGACAAGGAAGCAGAGACTTGGGGGACCCAGGAAATATGGGAGTTACGGGATGGATAAAAGAAAGGCCTATCGAATATCTACTTGAGTGTGACAAGCAAGAACATATATTATTGTCAAAGAGCATACAAGCAAGGTCCTATTTCCTGTCACTGACTCTCGAACATGGAAGCGTAAATTTCGTATAATCCCGAGGAAAGCAGCATAATCCACTTTGTATAAGCCACTTGTGTTCTTATACTCAGTTTACTATTGTTGAACAACATGTTTTTATCTCTGTATATAACGATGTGGCAATGTATGATGTCAAGTAAGTAATAACATTGACCTATCATAAGTTCATATTGCCATGTATCTTCAGATTGAGTAAGATGCACTAGTGCTTGTCATGTTGATAAGAAAGGAGAACCTTAAGCACTGTTTATTTCTTTAAACAGATAATAGATGAATCAATTTAGCATCAGTAAATATGCAAAGGGCTGTATGGAAACTAATCACGTTATGGTAAGTCATGTAATGTTAATGACTTATCTTCTTTGGCCACTTGAAGTCTAGTATCATCAATTCCTTAAAATACTAACTCTCCTTATATGTACCTTACTTTGTTTAGTTACATTGAAACTTAATCAATATTATTAAAAATGCAAAGCAATAAGAAATGTAAGGAACAGATTTAGTGTAAACCTTTCCGATATTTTGCTCTTTATCTGCATGTGTTTCTTACCACTGAGCCCAACGTCACAGAAACACAGTTGAACATCTAGGTTGTGGTTAATCCTGTTTAAGATAGAATTTGGTGAACACTAATGACAGCTTTATGAGTTTCATGTTTGATGTCACACGGAGAAAATATGTGAGAAAGTATAATACATAATAAATGTGCTGCCACAATGATTTACTAGTACAATGACTGCCGCTGTTTCTCCAACATTGTGGATGCTGAAAAGTAGGTCAATGGTGTTGCTGCAAATTCAGTATTCTGTTTGACGTTTAGTGGCTGGCGGTGATCGAAGATTATGTCCTTAATGACTCGTACTGCTGCTTGAATTTAGAGATATATTTCCTTCAGGTTAAAAAGAATCCATATTGGTATGTCATAAGCGGTTGCGTAATAAAAAAATGGGT